TAGCCGAGAGAGGAATTACCGGTAAGTGCACACGGCGGTTACCCGCCATTTCTTAGTATCTGCAGATCTGATATTGGAAAGGAAAGCCTGCTGGACGCAGCGTAAGGGCTACTTTCCGGTCAGGGGCGAGACGTCGCTTCCGGCCTCAGTTCCTGTTTAGGTTGTACGTTTGTTTAGATTGTCCGTCGTCTCTCTTGTTGTCTGTCTTGAGTAATCTCTGTGTTTTCTGTCTTTTCTGTTTGTATGGTAAAGTGTTCCCCTTTCTGGGAGGTAAGCATAGGCCAGAGTGGGTTTTGGGGTTCCTCAGGAAATAGAAACCCCCCACGCAGCCGCACCAATCTTGTCCTCTTCAGGGCATGGTTGAAAGCAAGGGCATGGATGGGTGTTCTTGCCCCTGAGATGAGAATGTGTGAACCTGGCTTTGTTTGAGGTACAGATGCATGAGGTCATGGGCCTGAGCCCAAGCATGGCTGAGTCCGGCTGGGAAAAAGGCGATGATCAGGGAAGTGTGTGTGCGAGATTTTTCCTTCCCCCATTCCTTGTATATGAGCCAGAACTGGGAAGTAAGGAAATGTTGGGCTTGCAAACACAGGTCCTACCCAGTTTTCTGGACACACTCAATAAGCTTATCCTGTGTGAAAGCCCTGTGTGCAAGAGGGGTTATATAGAAACATTTCTATGAAGGTCCTTTCCTTGTCAGAAACCGGGAACACTGTTTTAATGTCTTTAATGTAAGTTTTCTGCCTCTTCCATCTGCCTTACAGCCCTCCTAGGTAGGAAGATTCCTTTTTGTGAGATTAAATAATTGTGTTTGAAATTCCAGGAGGGGATGCTGATGGGCAGAGGAAAGATGGGAAAAAAAATGTGTATACTGTTGGGAATACTCAGTAGGAATCCTGAAAAGGATTCCCAGTGAGATAAAGAAAGGGTTTTATATTGGGAACATATTGCTGGTAAAGTTTTGCAAATTTAAATTGTTGTGTTTAGCAATTAGCCTGAGCAGTAGCAGGCTGGAATTCAACAGGGCAGAGTGTAAAATCAGGGGAAGACAGATTGCAGTTAACCATTAATAAAAATTTCTGCCAAATTGGTTGGTTTTTCTTCCCCTGTTGAACTTGCAGCTGTTTGGAATGTGAGTGAATTCTAAGAGTTTTGGTAAATGGTGATTTGGTACTTTTTCTACTGGAAAAAATATGGGAAGAAATGTGTAACTTTTGGAGTAAAGACAAGAAAAACAAATGAAAAAAAAGAGGAACAGTCTACCTTGCTAAGAGCACTCCCATTATTTAAAGAGACAGTAACTGCAGCCTCTTCTCTGGGTTTAGTCTGGCCAACTGAATTCAGGAGGGATTTGTGCTGGAAAATTTGGATTTCTTGACTCTGTGGGCTTGGCTATTCCACAGAACCAAGAAAAGGGGGGATGCTCTGGCAGGAAGATACCACAAACACCACTTTGTGAGTACTGCAGAAGCAGCACATACAGCCTCTGAGCATGTGCAGAGTTCAAAATACTGTGGGAAGTTTGAGCAGCTCTGCTTCCAGCCACAGATTGGAGGCGGGCTTGCACTAGTTCTCAAAGAAAGTCTTTGAGGCTCTAGAAAACTGGTATTGATGTCCTTACAGTAGCCTAATGTTTGTTGGGGACTGAGCCCATTTGCCAGCCCAAGGATGCCCAAGAATGTTCATCTAAATGCGCAAGCATTGTTAGATGGAATGTGCATTAGTTCAGGTTTGTTTGTGTTAACAATGGGTTGGTGCATTTTGCATCTATGTGGGAGAGTGTCATCTCTGCAATAAGAAATTGTGTAAAGCTGTTCTCATTGTCCAGAAGAAAGCACATTTCTCTTTAGCCTAGGCAAGCAACAGGTTCGTGCAACACCAGTGCAACACCAGTTCAACAAAGGCTTTATTTGGTGTGCATTTTTTTGCATTGCTTGGATTGATTTATACCTGGAAACAGCAGAACCCCCCTTTCTCTGAAAAACCACAAGGCCCCCGGGAATCCCCCTCCGCTTTCTTGGAACGCCTACTTGAGGCATATAGGCAATACACACCTATAGACCCTCGGGCGGCTGAGAACGAGAACGCGCGGGCAATTAACACAGCCTTTGTTTCACAGTCAATTAACACAGCCTTTGTTTCACAGTCAATTAACACAGCCTTTGTTTCACAGTCGGCCCCAGACATCAAAAAAAAAAAAAAAAAAAAAAAAAAAAAATCAGAAGTTAGATGGCTTTGAGGGAAAGTTACTTAGTGAATTAGTGGAAATAGCCCAGAAAGTATTCAATGGCAATCCTAGTGAAGGAGGCTAAGAAACTGACATTGGGCCAGGACCTCCAGATCATCGGCGCCCACACGGTAGAGACCCTTCTCCGAAGCCCACCTGATCGCTGGATCTCCAATGCTTGCGCCACGCAATATCAGGTATTACTGTTGGACCCTCCCCGGGTAACCTTCTCCAAGTCTCCAAGACGATGGTCCTAAATCCGGCCACCCTCCTGCTGGGGGACGAACAGGAGGGCCCCACCCCCAACTGCACTGAGGCCCTCGACACTATCACCGGCACCAGACCAGATCTGTCCGATGTCCCACTAAGGCCGCCGGTCCACAACCTATTTACAGATGGGAGCAGTTTCGTCAAGGACGGAGTCCGGTATGCGGGAGCAGCGGTGGTCACCAGATCTGAGGTAATATGGGCCCAGTCACTGGGACACGGCACGTCAGCCCAAAGGGCGCAGCTCATCGCCCTAGCGCAAGCCCTCCGGTGGGGGAAGGGGAAGACTCTTAAACGGACAGCCGGTACGCCACGGCTCACGTCCACGGGGCGTTGTACCGGGAAAGGGGACTGTTGACCTCCGGGAGGAAGAAATAATGGAGGCCCTCTGGTTGCCAGAACGCATGGCTATTATTCATTGCCCTGGGCACCGGCGGGATGAGTCGCCGGTCTCTCAAGGAACTGCCAGAGAGGCGGCCCTAAGACCAGTAGGGCCACTAGAGATCCTCCCGGTACATCTGCCTCCCCGAGTTCTTCCTGAACGGCCAACTTATTCACAGAAGGAAAAGGACTTGGGCGCACTCTTGAAGTTGGTGGTCACTGGACAGACCTCCTTCCATTTGCCCTCCTACGCACGCAGTGCTCCCCTTATAGGAAGCAATTGTATTTGGGCGACCACCCCCTCTGCTCCCCCGCCTGACGGAGGAGATGCACGCCGAGTTGTCTAACCACAACTTGCTTGAGTCCTTGCAGGCCCTCGATCGCGTACGGCATGATATTCGCCGACAGGTTCGGTCCAACATGGGTGAGACTACTGAGGCTCCGGACCCCGCGGCCGACCATCCCCCACGCAAAAACCCAGGAGATTGGGTCTGGCTAAAGAACTTTCACCCTGTCACTCTAGGTGCCCGGTGGCTAGGACCCTTCCAGGTGATCCTCTCCACTCCTACGGCGGTAAGACTGGCCGAAAAACCCCACTGGTTCCACGTGACACAGATGAAGCCTGCTTCGCCAGTCCTCTCGGAACAATGGATGGTGCACCAAACCAACAACCCTCTGCGAGTCAAGTTAAAAAGGGTCTCCTCCCAGCAGCCCTCCTGATTCTTCTCGCCCGCCCAGTAGGCTGTCCCCTCCTGAACCCACACCAGCCACTTACCATGGAATGGACATTGCAGACTGATTGGTAGGCCTCCCCGCCAGTAGCAACCGTCCTAGGGGTGAATGTGTATCTCCTACTCGGAAAATTATGGGAGTGCCTGCCCCTGGGGGCTCCACCTCTCTACAACATTAGAAGAGTTCTCAGGTCAAGGGACCTGTGCCACGGGTCCCGGTGGGCCCCGCAATGATCCACGATACCCTGCTACCTTACTCCTGACCCCCACAGCATGCCCCTACCTCCTGGCAGCCCCGAATGGGACTCTTTTTGCTTGCCAATCCGGCCTCACCCCGTGCAGCTTATGTGCTGCCTTGGATGAGAAATGCTGCTTTTATGCAAATCATTCAGGCATCATCTGTAGCAGTCTAGACCTAGTCAAAGTCTGCCTGGAGGACCGGGAAAGGCGCCGCCAGGAGGGTTCCAACTGGTATCCGCGCCTCTTTAACTGGTCCCCCTGGCTGACCAGTCTGCTCTCTTCCCTTGCTGGACCCCTTTTAGGGTTATTTCGCCTTATCTTCGGGCCCCTTCTGCTCAGTTGGGTCACCCGCCTTGTCCAGCAGCGCATCAACGCTACGAAAGTACTGGCATTTCATGTCAGGTCTCATCTGGGGCAGGGTAATGTTTACAAGCTCCGCCCACTAATGGTCCACGGACTCGATGATTCGATTCCCCAAAAGACCAGTAGGGAGGGGTGTTTGAGCTCAGCAGGAAAGGGGCAGGCTTGTGGAGAGGCTGTGGAAGCACGCAGCCACACGTGCCTTAAGCCCCCCGGATTTTTCTCTCTCCTTTTGGGAGCCAAAAAGCGGCAGCTGCCTGGTACCACGTGCCCCCGGTTTCTACAGTTGCGAAGAGCAGCAGCGCATTGCACTGACTTCGGAGGCAATCAGAAATTCAGGGCCCAATCCAGTCCATGTTAGGGCCAAAAAGGGGGCTTCGGCTCCCGTGGCTGATCTGGGAGTACCTGGAGATGCAGACTGCCTAAACTTGCATGGGCTTCTCTCCCCGACTTGTTTAACGTCAGAATGTTCGGGAAATGACAGTACTGCGAAAACGCTACCGCGAACCGTGCGCCAAAAGCGAAGCGCTCCAACTTGGAGCCGGGCCGGCGCTGGGCCAGCCCCTCCGGCGGCCCCTCTCCTCCCGGGCGAGGGCGCTTCGTGCGCGCCGCCCCCGCCCACCCGCGCCGCCCCTCCGCGCCCCTGCGCCGCTTCTCCAGCTGCGGCTCGCGCATGCCTCCTCCTCCTCCTCCTCCTCCTCCTCGGCGCCGCGGCTCTGGGCGACCAGGAAACGAAACTGCCTGCTCGGAGGGCTGGAAAAAGAAGGCAGCGACCGAGCGAGAGCGAACGGCTTCCTTCCTCCCGGCCGCGAGGGGAGGAGCGCGGCGATGGGCATCTTCTTTTCCATCTTCGACACTTCCGTGGACCTTTACGAAGTCGAAGCCCGGGAGCTGGACAAGTTCATCCACGACCGCCTCCAGCCCGACGAGGCCTTCCTGAGGCAGGTGCGCAATGCCATCCACATAGTCTGCGAGTTCCTGAAGGCGAGATGCTTCTCGGACGCCTCCTGCCCGATCGACCCACGGCCCCGGGTGCTGAAGGTGGTCAAGGTACGGACTGGGGTCTCCAGGTCCGAGGAAGGATGGCTGGAGGAGCGGGGGTGGAGAAAGCATGCCTCCGAAGTCAGTGGGAGCAGCAGCCCTGGCTTTGGCCCGGGAAGACCCGGCATGGCTGGGATGCGCGGCCCCGGACCTCCTACAGGGGCGCCTGTTCCTGGCCAGCAGCCCCTCCCCCCCTCCGGACAAAGTAGCTGTCAAGCGGCCATCGGGAGAAGCTTCCCGCCTGCCAGAGCCGTGTGATAAGGCGAGCAGTGACTCCAGGGGGACGCGGCCTCTCCCGCCCTGAGGCATCCGAGGCGCAGCTGGACGGCCCTTTTGTCAGGGGCGCGGAAACTCGGGGTCCTGCGTGGGGCTGGCGGTTGGAGCCGACGCCCCTGCTCGACCCGTCCAGCAATGCTACTCTGGATTCTCTCCCAGTTCTGGAAAGGAGGTGGCCAAGGGCTGCTGCAAACACAGAGGGAGGAGGTAGTCTCTGCTGGCCGAACCCCCCCCCCCCCCGCTTCCCAGGATACTTGATTCCACATCAGGAGAGACTTGGGGGCTGGGGAGAGGGGAGAGGCGCTGGTTGATGAGAATCCCCTCCCCCCCAGGTTTTGTGCCTGTCAGGGGCGGGGACGTTTGCAGGATGCCTTGGGCTGGCTGGGGATTGCGCTGGAGTGCCGCCCGACTTGCGCCCCAGAAGTCTCCCTACCCACCTGAGCTGGCAGAGGTGCTGCCCAGGCAGCTGGTTCAGGGGGACATCGTGCTGAGCACTGCAAGGCCTCTGACGGCCTGGCGCTGTCTTGACAGACCGTTGGCCCAAGATGCGAAACAGAGCGTGCTCTCGACTTCGTCGTGCCGGGCCCTGTGTCAGGGTCAGCTCTCCTGTTAAGTCTGGGCTGATGGCAGCTTTTTCTCTCTGAAAGGGCAGGGGAGCTACGAGGAGGGTCAGCCACCAGCAGCTGGCCTTCCAGGGGGTTTCCAGTGGGCTCCGGGGGTTTCCAGCAGGTATGCCCAGAGTGCCTGTCAAAGCCCAGTCCACCTGAGGAGTGCGGAGAAGGCTGGGGCCAGTGACTCGGTTGCTGCTGACGGCAGGGCTTGCATGGCTCCATGGGGTGCCCCGGAAGCGAGAGAGGGGGCAGCTTGAGTGCAGGTGGAGAAACACGTGCAGTGGACGCAAGCGGGGAATGCCCACTTGTGGGGATATGTGGGCCAGGGTGGGCAGCGACGGACCCACCTTTTGCTGCTCAGAGGACTCTTTGACGTGCTTCCGATGAGAGCTGTTCTGAGTAGCCGAGGGCTTGCTTTGCACCAGCCCTACAAGTGTCCTGCATCCATCAGGGCTCGCTGTGCCATGTCTGCAAGGCACTTCCAAGATGCAGACCTTTTGCATCTGCCAGGACTTCAGTGTCTCTCTTGAACCTCCTGGTCCCTCGGCCACTTTCATGGCCATCGACCACGGCATCCTTCCAGGATGGCTGTCTGGGCTGGGCCCTGCCGTGCCACTGTCCCCTCCTGGCTGGACGGTGGAGCTTGGGGAGTCTCTTTGGCTCACAGAGTGGCTGCCAGGATTGACATGGCCAGCCACAAAACGCCCACTTCTCCGAGAGCAGCTGGAGCAGCCAAAAGAAGGTGCCACGGCCAAGAACATCAGTGCTTGTACCAGGCAGTGGAAATGTCTGAGGCAACCACAGAGGCTTCTGCTGAAAGGCACAGCCGAGCAGAAAGGCCTTAGCAGGTCTTGGCACCTGTGGACAGACAAGTGATGCTCCAGACATCAGAAGAAGAAGGAGAAGGAGAAGGAGAAGAAGAAACGGGAGAGAGGAAGACACACAAAATTAAAAAACTGTAATGGGTTGGCAACTTGCATCTCAATTCTTGGCACAAGTGAGCGATGGAAAGATGCCACCATGTTGGATGGCATTAAAGTGGGATTGAAGAAAGTCACAAAGGATTAGGATTTCTGTGACTAGTTAGCCGTGATGGTTCTGTGCTTTCTTGTTTATTGTGGCGGCACCTTGTCAAGCTGGCTCTGGCTTAGGGTGACCTCATGAGGGGGTACCTCCAAAAGGCCCCCTCCGCCACCGCCCTGCTCAGCGCCTGTGGCTCCTCTGGTGGGATTGCCCTGTCTCATAACCGGTCCTCCTCTTCTGCCTTCAGCTTTCCCCAGCATTAGCATCTTCTCCAAAGAGTCTCGCTTCCGCACAGGGTGCCTCAGCAGGACAGCCCGCCTGGTTTGCTTGCTCCAGAGTATTCCCAGCACCCCCCTGAATGCCGGCTACGATGAGCCGGGGGGCCCGGTGGCCCTCATGTCCTGCTCTTGGGCTTCCCTCAGGCCGCTGGCTGGTCACTGGGGGAGCTGAAGGTTGGGCAGGAGAGGATTTGTGGTCCGACCCACCAGGACTCTTCCCATGCCGTCATGACCTTTGCTAATGTTTCCCCAGGGAGGCTCCTCGGGCAAAGGGACAGCTCTGAAAGGAGGTTCGGATGCCGACCTGGTGGTGTTTCTTGACATCTTCAGAGGCTACAGAGACCAGGAAAGAGAGAGGAGCAAGATCATCCGGGAGATTGAAAGAAGGCTCAGAGAATGTCAGCAGCTTTTGAATTCAGATGTGTGCATTGAGCGAACAAAGTACAAAAATCCACGTGTTCTCACTTTCAAACTTCAGTCTTACTCTTCTGACGATTCCATTGAATTTGATGTGCTGCCAGCTTTCAATGCTCTGGGTGAGGCTGCCTGCCTGAGCATGGTGTCTTTTTTCTTCACTAGAGCTGTGAAGGGTGGTGAGGAAGAGGGAAGGAGAGCTCCTAAAATGTCCTAAACAGCAGGATGTGTGGGTTGGCGGCACCACTGAACGGAAGCTTCATGCTCTTTCTCCCTGAAGTTCGCTTTAAAACACACCCTGGGTGGGTGGCTGTGACTGGGTCCCTCTTTCCAGCAGAGCTTCCTTAATGGGTTGCCTGAAGGTGAGAAGTGGGAAAATTGGTGGTCCAAAAAAGATGGTGCACCATGCTCTGGGTGCTTTGGAGCCCCTGCAGCTATTGCTGAAGCAGATCATGAGTGCCAAGGTGCTGATGGCAATGACATTTAGAAGCATAGAAACAGAGCGAGTCAGAAGGGGTCTCCCGGGCCATCTAGTCTGACCCCTGGCTCTAGCCAGCTCTGCTCACGACATGCGTACCATGTGCATGTCCAGCCTGTCCTTGAACACCCTCACTGATGGGGCTTGAGCCACCTCCCGTGGAAGCCCATTCCATGCTCTTGGGTCCTGTCAGGAAGTACTTCCTAGAATCCAAATTGAACCTTGGTTCCCTGAGCTTGGCTCCACTGGTGTCCTGCCTTCCTCAGCAGGGGAGAACAGGTCTCTCCCCACCTCCGTGTGATACCCCCTCACATACCTGCATGTCGCCAACAGATCCCCTCTGAGTCTCCTCTTCTCCAGGCTGAAGAGACCCAGTTCCCTCAGTCTCGCCTCATACGGCATCCCCTGCAAACCGGCCACCAACCTTGTGGCCCTGCTCTGCACTGACTCTACCTGGCTATATCCTTCCTGTAACGAGGGGCCCAAAACTGAGCACAATACTCCAGTTGCAGGCGCACCAGAGTTGTATGGAGTGGCAGTAATTCCTCTCTTGGCTTAGAAGCCACACTTCTGGCTATGCAACCAAGGGTGGCGTTCGCCCTCTTGACCACCGCATCACACGGCTGACTCATGTTTAGCCTGTAGTCAACCAGCACCCCGAGGTCCCTTTCACAAGTGCTGCTCTCCAGCCACTTGTCCCCTAACCTGCACTTATGACACCTATTCCTATGCCCCAAGTGCAAGACCTTGCACTTCTCCACATTGAATGCCATCTTCTTGTCCCCTGCCCACTTCCGTAGTCTGTCCAGATCCTTCTGGATCTGGATTACCTGCTCCTCGGTTGTGGCCACTGCCCCGGTTTTAGTGTCGTCTGCGAATTTGATCAGCAGACGGGTCACCCCTTCTTTCAGTGCTGTTCTTTCACAAGGCATTACCAGGGAGAGGCGAGGCGAACATGAAGGGCTGCTGCTCTCATTGGGAGCCATTCATTCCTCCTCAACCCCCAAATCCTCTCCCCAATATTATTTACCCCCAGAGATACTGTTTACTGCAAGCAACACCATTCTGGGGAAAGAGCAGCTGAAGGGAGCCAAATTTTCACTGGAAAAGCAGTGCAGGCCCTCAGTGGGGGCACCTTTCCTTCAAAATAAAAGTGACCCACTTATTCATGCTGCATCAAAGGGTGTGTGGCGTGATTCGTCTTTTGCCCCCTGCCCCAAGAGCTGTCCCAGAACCAAGGAGCGAAGTTCAGGCCAAATGACCCGCCAAGACGGTCTTTTGCCATTGCTGCTCCGCCATGTTGTCTGAAGCCAGTTCTGCTATTTCACCAAGGCAAGTTTAATCTTTAGGTACCATGATAAGAAACAATGGTTTGTTCAATGGTTTCTCTGTACCACCATGGCTTGTCATGTTGTCTGAAGCCAGGATCGTCGTTTCCGTAGTCTTGGTATGCAACTACCATAGAGTCCTTTGGAAAGAGTGGCAGCTGCAGAAGCCACTCCAGCCATCTAGGCTCTATGTGTGGACCCATGAGGAAGACGCAGGCGACACAGGCAGGGAGCAGTGCATCTTGGGAGTTAGTTTCAGGCACAATGGCTGATGGGATGTATGGCAGTGGAGGGAGGCAGGGCTGAGCAGGGAAGATGGAAACCGCAATAAAGTAGAAACTACTTGGTCCTCTGTCAGGTAGAGCACCGTGACGGTGCAGAGCGGTGCGTCATGCGGTGTGAATGCAGCCGGTCTTTGTCTGCCTCCTCTTCCAGGCCACTATAGGAATGGCAGTAGGCCCGACCCCCAGGTGTACCTCGACCTGATCCGGAGCAGCCGCGGCCAGGGCAGCCAGTTCTCCCCCTGCTTCACGGAGCTGCAGAGGGACTTCGTCAGAGATCGCCCCCCCAAGCTGAAAAACCTCATCCGGCTGGTGAAACACTGGTACAAGCAGGTGTGTGGTGTGACAATCCTGCCAAGGGGGGGCGGAAGGAGTGCTCCATGCTTCTCTCCCCCCACACTGTAGGCTCCGTAAAAGGTATTCGCATCGGAGCCGGCTACGCCCCTCGGTTACATGCTCTCAAGTGTCTTTGGCTTACGCAGACCCTATGGATGGGCACCTCCCCAAACGCCCTGCGCTTGGCAGCCCCGCTCAGCTCAGCTCTGCCTTACGGGACGGGCCCGTCTCAGCTGGTCTCCACCTCTCCCTCCGCCTTTGACCTTCCCTGGCATGGCTCTCTCCAGGCACCTTGCCTTCTCGTGCATTAAGGCCCCTGCACTCAGCGTAGCTTCCTCCCAGATAATTAGGGGGCCTCGTTTGTGCAGTGGCCGGGCGCTGACTTAAGACATCTCGTGAGCTGGCAAACCCCAAGTCCCCCGTACGTTTGTCGTCCATCGCGTGCTAAGCACCGTTTGATTGTCACACTTGACATTTCATGCTTCTCATGAATTGTCTAGCTGGAACTCCTACAGCAACCGATAAGGTAAGTCAGCATTATTAATATCACAAACAAACTCTTGGCCGAGGCGGACTGGAAACAGCAACTTTCTGTTTCATACCCTGCTCTCTTAGCTGCCAGTCTGCACCAGTTCCTCCACCGAGATACCAGTTGCCAAATGCTAGATATTCAAGTCAGATCTTGAAAGAAAAGCTCACAATGTCAAATGCAGCGATCGCGGATCCCGTCGGTATTTGGGTCGCAGAGAATATGCTGCCTCAGCAGGCTCCTCCCGTTCCTGGTGCAGTGCGGGAGGGGGCAGAGGCGGGGCGCCACCTGGCAGCCCCATCTGGCCAGGGCTGAGGACCACCAGAAGCCGCTTAAGGAGTTGGGCCCCGACCGCCAGGCACAGGACTGCTGGCACAGGCCGGCAGCTGTGGCCCTCCAGGGTTCCAGGCAGGGGTCTTTTCTTGTCCCACCTGGAGACACCCGGGATTGAAGTGGGGCCCTCCTGCGCACAGGGACCCAGCCCCCCTTGAGGTGAACTCCCCTCTCCTTCTTGGCAGGAGGGTCTCCTTGCTGAGGCGCCATGTTCCAGTGATGCATGGGGGAAAGGACGGGTGAGCAGCGGCCCCAGAGGCTCAAATCAACAGCCCCCCCTTCCCAAGCCCAGGCCCTGGGAAGGGGTGCTGGCTGGATCCTGCCCATAGACTCTGCAGGGGAGGCAGGTGGGAACATTGCCTCCCCGAGGTGTCCCAGCACCCCCACCAGCCCCACCAGCCCCATCTCCCCTGCAGACAAAGCGAGAAACTCAGTGGGAAGCACCCCCCCACCGCGGCCCGTGCCACCTGCCCCTCCTCCCCAGGGAGAAGGTGTGCGGGCAGGTGGCGTGAGGCCCGGCTCAAGCACCGCTCGGGACTGAGGAGGGGGGTGCCCTGGGTGGGACCGTGCGTGGGGGCACCGGGTGCCAGAGGTGGCTGCAGGTATCCCCGGGAGGAGGCTCAGCTGCCCGCACTGCCCCGGCCCCCCGTCCTGCACGCCTGCAGCCCTCAGGGGCTGCAGCCCCCGGGGCAGTGGGGGGCGAGCCGGGGGCTGCCAGGGGCCTCCTCCCAAGTGCAGACTGGAGAGGAGGGGGGCAGCTCCAGGTTTAGCTTCTGAGGAGGATCAGAATGGAGGTCTGGACAGCAAGACCCCCTTGGGAGGGGACGCCAGCCTGGAGGGGGGCCCTTTCCACCGGTGGCAGCACCAAAAGCCACAGAAGCAAGGCAGAAGCAGCTGTCGCCCCCGAAGGGGGGGCTTCGTAGGGGGGAACCGAACGAGCCCACATTTGCGGCACACGCGCTTTCCGCCGCGTAGCATCCTGCGGCCATGCGCCACGCCGCCGAGGGCTGACTGGCGCGCCCCTCGGTTGCCCCCGCAGCTGCCGGGCAGAAAGTCGCTGCCCCCCAAGTATGCGCTGGAGCTGCTGGCCGTCTATGCCTGGGAGCACGGAAGCCACGGAAACTATTTTGACATGGCGGAAGGGTTCCGGACGGTGCTCTGGCTCCTGCAGCAGTACAAGCAGCTCTGCATCTTCTGGACCAGATTCTACGACTTCGAGAACAGGGAGCTCAGGCAGTTCTTGCAGAGCCAGCTCCGGAAATCAAGGTCAGTCCCTGCAGTGGGTCTCCTGGGGATCCAGAGTTGAGAGGGACACTTGTGCGTAACCATGGAAGAGTTCCCTTAACAGATCATGGGGGAAGGCGGGGGAGGTCCCAAGCGCAAGGCGTAGCGCCCTTCCGCTGGAGGGAACTCATGGAGGACACAGCGGGCGAGCCGTGCGGGGCCCCCGGCCTTCTGCGGCAAAGTTGCGACTGAAGTTCATTTCCTGGGCAGATTCCCTAAGCTTAGGTGAGGTGCTGGGTGTTCACCTGCTTCCATTAGACAAAATTACCGTTTTGCACATAAATAATCGGAAGCTCAAGATCTCTTCTTGATCATCCCAGAGTACAGGGCATGAAATTTGTTGGGCTGAAGTTACAGAAGGTCAGAGCCCAGCTGGACATCAGGAAGAACTTATGCTCCGATGTTTCCTGACTGTTGGAGCTGTACAGCAACGGAGCCCATGACCTGGGGAGGTGGAGGGCCTCTCCCTCGGCAGCACCCAGACTGCAGCTGGGCAGCTATCCAAGCGGGAGGGTTTAACCTGGAGTCCCGCACTGAGTAGGGGGCGGGGTGGACCTGATGGCCTTGCTGGCCCCGTCCAACTCTGCTGTTCTAGGATTCTGTGAATGAGAAAAATTAAAACGGCATATGTCAATGCAACTCTATATTTATATTAATCTTCAACAAATGCTTTCATAAAAGGACATTCAGTCAATGAGGTTTTTCTTAGCTCAAATAGGCAGGGATACATGAGGGGCGTGGGGGACCCTGACACCTGCCCTGGGTCTGGCTCTTCTGGGCCAACGGCTGCATCTTACTGGCTGCTTCCTTTCCTGGCTTGCAGACCCATCATCCTCGACCCGGCAGACCCGACTGGGATCGTAGGACAGGGAAGCTCCTGGGACCTGCTGGCGGAGAGTGCGGCCCTGTGCACGGAGCAGAGGTGCTGCAGGAAGGCCAGTGGGGCGCCGGTGCAGCCCTGGCCGGTGCCGGTGAGTGAAGCCAGTGGCGCAGCGCCTGCCCTGTGCCCCCGCCGGCTCCACAGACCGCTCGACGGACCGACCGCTCGATCAGCCTCCTGTGCATGTCCTGCCTGCCATTTCTTCCCAAGGGCGGCCTGGTCACGTGGCTGCCACTCCCACATGGGCTCATGCCACAGGCCGAAACACGAGAGCGCCTCTGGCTTCTCCCGGGACCACAGGACTAAGCGCTCGGGTGTTGCACTCGGCCTCCTGGCAGACTCGCAGGATCCTGTGTTGGACTGCAGACATTTAACAAATGATGTTCAGTCACATGTGCCCCCAGAGCAGTAATGGCGTTTTTTTAAATGCACCTTGCTACCTCGTCAGTGAAAGGGGCTCTGGGAGGTTCTGCTTAGGGCAGAGGCGGTCCATGAGATGTGGGTGGAATTTCCAAGGAGCTGGGTGGGGATGCTGAGCTTGGATCCATTTTCTCCTGATCTCCGAACCCCTGGCCTTGCGCATCTCCTCCCCTCAGGAGATCAGCTGCCCCCTGAGCCCACCGTAAAACATGCGGACAACAAAGTACCATTTCCTGGAGGAATTCCATGTGAAGAATTCCTCGTCCCTGTGGCCCCCTGAGCGTGGCGCTGGAGAGTGCAGCTGATGGTGCCGGGGGCGTGCAGTGCCCCATCGCAGGCCTTCCGAAGGGGTTGCAGAGGATGGGGGCAGCGGGGATCCCCCCGTGCTGTGCCTGAGACGGAGTTCCAGGACTCTGCTGGCGGCCACCAAGCCTCTTTTTCTTGTGCTCTGTTTCAGCTGCAAGTACCCTGGGAAGAGGACTCCTGCTGCGCCATCCTGTGAGGGAATCCCTTTCAGCCTCACGATCGGATTACGTTTTGTGGGTGTTCTGGGGAGAGCCCCTTACCTGGTTTCGCAAGTCATTTCTGTGAAAAGGGACGGGGGGATATCTTGAGATCAGGGTTTTGCTGTCTAAACTCAAAGGCCTAAAGCATCTCCTGGGGTTTCTGTTAGTTGACACTTGAGCCGAGCACAGAAATGGCGCTGGGCCAGCGACTGGACTGTGCCCCCCGCATTCCAACTAGACCGCACCAGCAGATTCCAGCCTGTGGGAGCGCAGTCGGAGCGCTTCTTCACCAAGGCCAAGTCAAGAAGGCGCCGTCCCCAGGAGGGGCTTGGCGGCAGATTCAAAGGCATGTGCCTGTCTCTGATCCTGGCCTGCAGAAAGCACAGGGGACTTGCGTCTTCCCAGTCACGCGATTCCCACGGAGCTGCATGCTGCCTTTTTCCTTCTTTGGGAGAAGGAATGTGAGGAGGCGAGTGCTTGGGCAACAGCACACCTTCAGGCACCAATGCGCATTTGGAGAATTCTCACGCGTGCCTTGAACTTTCCGGCTCCACCAGTAAGCAGACAGTGGAGCGGAAGATGCCTGGCAAGCCACGAGACACTCACAAAATGTGTAGATCTCTGATTGTTACGGCAGAATAACCACTCAGGCCAGCCCCTGCCACACATGAGCATGGGGCACTTTGGCCCCACCTCTTGCCGGTTGGCTGGCCTGGGGTTAAAAAAAACCCGGCCCTGGCTGCCTCTCCACAACTTGTGTTCAGCTTGGCCCTTTCAACCAAACCTGCCGCACAGGTGAATCCAGGAGCACTTCCACGTGCGTTTCCTGCTGGAAGAAGCTGATCAGACTCTACAGATGGAGTAACTTCTCTGGTTATCGCTTGGGCTAATGTGCCACCATGCCTTGCATTGTCATGACCCCTGGTCCTCAACAGGGACCAGATTCCCCTCCCTTCTGTCCTCTGTGCATGAAGCATCTTGTATTATAAAAGACAAATGGAAGCCTGCAGCATTTTGCAGTATTTGCTCTGCATCCTTCCCATGTACTCTCTTAAGGTGCAACGCTGTGCACATGCAGACGGGGCTGGCTGGGTTCTGCTGGAACGTTTAGGGCTTTTCCCCCAAAGAAGCAGTACACGCTTGCTTATTCCGACTTCCGTGTCGTACTTCTGTCTGAACGCTGGTGCTCATGCAAACACATCACTCGTCGCATCTACACCAGGACAGCCGCAATGGTGGTCCGCATTTCAATACTACTGCCTGCTTGATTTATCCATGGAAAGGCTGCCCCACCAGCCCACAGCTCAGCCTGGCTGAAGAAGACTAGACTGAAATTCAGCGATGGAAGCTGCCCTGCCCTGGAGATTTCAAAGATGGCAGTTAGCCCTCAAGGTCCTGATATTCCTTTAGCTATGTTTGTCTGACATTGGGGGGGGGGGGGCGCAGTGGCAGTGATACAGCCCTCCCTTTCCCTGTCCGTCCAGATGTTTTGTGTTTTCGTGGGATCCTTCTTGGTGGCAGGTATCCTGAAAGGTCATTTGAAGCTTGCTCTGCTTTTGCAGACATTTAGAGATGTTGCATCCTTGATTGGTGTGAGTGAACACTGGACAGGGTTTATTTACTGGATTGCAAATTAGGGGAGAGATTTCCTAAAATGAAATGAAGCTTGTAGAAACTTGAGCACATCTCCTTCATTTAACATGCAATCCACTAGATCTTATATAAAGGCTTCTGGCACTTAAGCGCAAACTTGCAGGACGCTCATCAAGACTTGTCCTGGGACTGTGACAGAGTATTTCTGCAACTCCGCTTGCCCACGTGGCTGCCCGGCTCCAGGATGCACACACTTTCTGCTGGCAAATGCATCTTCTCAAGGTTCACAGAATTCAGGAGGACTTCAGTGGCTCCAGTCCATAATTGAGTCATTACTGTCATAATTTACATGATAAGATTATTTGTTCTTGGAATGGTCTTATTGCTATGAAGTTAAAAGGCTACTGAGAGATTCTGGTTAGCAACAGACTTTGCTGCCCGGAGGAGGCCCACGAAGCAGACAATAAGCAAAGCTAACTGAATCCTCGCTTGGAGGTCACAATACACACGCCAGCAACTTCGCTTGCATCGTGAGGTCAGGCCCTTCCTTTCCCAAAGGGCTGCTCCTTCCCGCTTTGCTCCTCACCAGCACCCCAGACCTGGAGGAATGAACGTTGTCCATGGGGCTGCGAGGGGCCGGGCACGACTCTGCCACTGAACAACAGCAAAGCACCCCGGACCAAAGCACGGGAGCCGGCAGGTCTCTCCAGCCGGGCAACCTCCTCCCGGAGGTGCTCCTTGCCTGATAGACTTGACGGCCATCCTGCCTGCTGACCCCAGTACTCCTCCCCGCTCGGCCACGAAGCTCCCCAGCTCGCTTTGGCCACTGGCTCACGCTCAGCCTCACGGGGTGGTTGTGAGGGGCAAATGGCAGAAAGGAGAGGCCTTGGGTTCCCCGCAAGAAGGAAAAGGGCAGGCTGGAGATGTGAGGTTACGATGGACAGGGAGGTGAGTGTGTGAAGACAAGTGTCATCCCTACCTGGAGCGTTCTTCAGGTAAAGAGGCACAAGCCATGATATCACCAGGTGTGCATCCATGCCCCCCCCCCCCGTTTAACCCAGTCAGGGTTCCACATGGCACCGCCCGCCTCCCCCCTGCTGCCTTGGCAGCCATCAGCTTTCTCCCTGCTTGCAATGGACCAGGGAATTGCCAGGTCAGGGTTGATACCAAACCGTATGGTCAGTCTTCCTATTCTTGCAAAAAGGCCTTCATCTTGCTGATCTTAAGTGCTGGCCTCTTTTCCCTTGACTAATTCGCCGCAGCTGGAAAAGGGCCCCATTTTCTCCGTAGGGTTCTTTCTGCACAGAGTATTCACTGACAAATGTCCTGAAGGCCTCATGGGTTTGGTCTGTTCACAGCAATCAAGATTTAAAAGAATATGCCCAAATTGTTCCAGGATGACCAGCCAGCCAAAGCTACACTTCCAAAGTACCATGCGCCAGAGAGCCCGTGTGGTGTGGTGGTTAAGAGCGCAGGTCTGGGACTCGGGCGATCTGGCTTCTGGTCCCCGGTCGGCCATGCAGCCGACTGGACGACCTTGGCCAGTCGCAGACTCTTAGCCCAGCCTGCCTCACAGGGCTGTCGTGAGGATAAAATGGAGAAGAGGAGAAGCTTGCACTCTGCCTGGGTTCCTTGCAAGAGGAAGAAAGATGAGGTGCAGTTATAATAAACAGACAAACTTCTTTCTGCACATCTTTCCTCTCCTAGAGTGGATGCTCAGGGAAAAGGTTACTGGCTCCCTCCACAGCTCTCGCCTTCTGATTTGGCCGCTTCAGGCAAAGCAGCTCAGACGAACCAAGAGTGGGGACAGTTCCCCCTCCTGGAAGTATTTCCTCAAAGCCTTCGCCAGGAGTAAATATTTTTCAACACACTATTTACAAAACAGAATAGTAAATCTAATTACCAATATGCATGCTGTGTCCTCACCCCACAGCCAGATGCATTTCAACCTTGCAGCCTGAAAATGTCACAATCATATTATTTGTGAATAACACGTTGAACACCTGTGCATTTTAAATAGTGTGGATTTTTCAGTGCTTGTCTCTATACAAGGGATAGCCAACTGCACAAAAAAGGTGGCCCCTGGTTCCTATATTGACTGACTTTTTAGTTCTACCCAAATGTATTTGGGTATTTAGTTTTCCAGTTTTACCTAAAGGTATTTGTACACGCTAACATAATGCATGTTGCATAATAATGCATAAAGGCATGTTGACAATTGTACATACGACTAGATGCGTGTGCTGGGAGATCCAGATGCTCGGTGGCTCCTTCCCGCAGGTACGCAGGTGGAAAACGCGCCCTCTCCACTGTGTGCACGGCAAGATGAGGCCCTCGTGCCACATCTCTGCATAAGGCCACCAGGGGGCGCTACAGCACTTTGAGAACCTGATAGCATCTTAGCCGCCCAAATCCAAGCGTGACTTTGGAGCAGTCCTGGACGACCACCTTGCCCAGGTCACCTGGGCACCTTCAGATTTTTATGGGGAATGAGATGCTGTCCTCACAGTCAGGTGGAACCTTGACATAAATTCTTCTTCCAGATTACACTATTCATCTCGTACATACTGTATTTATTCCGCTTTTCCCTCTTGGGAGGAACTCAAAGCAGCTTACATGAGACGTCTCCTCTCCACTGTATTCACCTAACAACCCTGTGAGGTAGGTCAGGCTGAGAAGAGCAGTGCCTAAGGAAGTAAGCGCTGGTTCATTCCACACTGGACAGCTCTGGCTGCCACGAGGCAGTTGGCTGAAAAGCCGCTGACGGAACTCTGCCCAGGAATTGGGTGAGGCGGAGCACCGTGCTTAACCATGTTTAGACAGAAAAAGGGCCTGCAAGTCTGAGCAGGCCTCAGCCAGCCAGGAGATCCGTATTTAATCCAGTGAGCCAGTGTGGTGTCGTGGTCAAGAGCGTGGGACTGGGGCTCAGGCGATCTGGGTTCTAGTCCCCACTCGGCCACGGAGCCAGCTGGGTGACTCTGGGCCAGTCACAGACTCTCAGCCCAACCTACCTCACAGGGTTGCCGTTGTGGGGATAAGATGGAGGAGGAGAGATGATGTAAGCTGCCTTGAGCCCTTGGTAGGAAAAAGGCAGGATATAAATTGAAAAATAAATAAATAAACAAACAATCCGCTTCTGTTCCATACCTTTTAAAAATTCATTAAATGATCAATGCAGCTGTATTTAAGAAGTTCATGCTAGCTGGGACCTGTAGCCCTATTTAGTTATTCATTATATTGGCACACCGCCCTATAGCCTGAGGGCTCTCTGGGCGGCTTACAAAAAGAACCGCAAGCAACCAGCATAAAAGCCATGACACTGTCCCAGCAAGCACAGAATTGCGCCCTCGGTGGCGTGGCAGCGCATGGCACTCCACAGGGGTGCTTGCAGGAGCGGCAGCACCCCAAGTGTCCGAACACGGGGTTACGTTGCGCGCCGCCCCGAGGCTTCGGCGAACGGGGCAGCATAGAAGTCTCCTAAATAAAACAAAACCGTCTCTCTCATAAAGCCCTCTGACTTCTCCAGCGGGCCACAGCCAAGAGTTCGGCCCTTGGCACCTGGCCGCATGCCAGTTTCCCGCTGAGGGATTGCGCGCGCGATGCTCGGCTGCGGCCAGACGCCGTGCCCACTCCGTCACACCGGGCGGGCTGGAGTGTCCCGCCTGCAGAAGTACCCCTTCGTGCTCAGCCGCCTCTTTGGGCGCCCTCTCTTCTCCCGCAGCCTGAGGTCCTTTCCTCCAATCTTCCGCTGACTAGAGAGAAAAGCACT